ATTTAAAAATAATAAATCTAATAATAAATATAAAGATTTAAAGTTATTTATTTAATTTATTTAAGAGGTTAGTCTGCATTAGTTTTGATTTTCAAAATATAATTATAGTCTCCACTTACATCTAAAAAATAAAATTTTATTTTGTTAAATATTAATATTTTAATTTAAAAATCCATTATATATTCTAATATATGAACATTTAATAAAATAATTTTTTTACTAAACGACTTAAATAGTTAAATGGTTATTTCCTTTCGCTTGAAGTAAAAACTTTTGAATTCAAGTTGCATGGTATGCGGATGAGATGAGATAAGAGATAGCGCATGATTACCTTCCATTATGTAATCAAGATAATTTTTTTTAAATTTTGAATTAAGTTTTAATTAAATAAAATAATACAATTTAAGATTGAAACTTTAATTATTTTTGAGAGTCAAAACTGATATGTATTTTTATATAATTTATTTATTTAATACCAATAACCTATCAATTTAAGTAAAAAAAGTTCAGTTCCCTTTAAATAAGATTTCGAATTCAAATTTTATGAATGGAGAAATATATCTTAGGAGAACTTTCTCGATTATGAGTTCTAATATAATTCAATTCTAAATTAATTGCAAGTCAACGTAATTTTTGAATATTGAGATATTAATTAAAAAACTAATTTATTTAATTGATATGTTTATTTATATTTATATAATTAAAATTTTTATCTAAATTTATAATATTTAATATTTATATAATAATAATATATACCATATTCCATTTGTACTAAAAAAAATTCTCACTCCTACTTTACCCCCCATAAACATAAAATATTCTGTAGACAATTACCCTTGTTCAAAAAAAAAAAAAAAAGCCCCGAAAGACTGGTTAGGTTGCTGAAAGGGTTAATCCACCCCTGAAAAGTGGAAAGCCCCTTTCAAAACATTTTAAATCCAACTGTTAAGCGTTTACAGGAATTAATAAATGGAATGCCAGTCATAGCTTAGCCTTTCTCGTCAGCCTGTTGAGTATGGCTAGCCGGCATAAAAAACTATGCTTAGGTATAGTTTGCTTTTAAAATATTAATTTAATTTAATTTAATTTAATTAATAAAAATAATCATTAATTATAATTATTAATTCAAAATATTTAATATTTATTAATTAATAACTTAAAATTAATTAGCAAAATAATATTTAAAATTTTATTTAAGAAAAAAAAAATCAAAATCATTAATTAGTATTGGAATGTGAATTGGGTCACCTTTGGTGGGACTTGTGGCCTTCCATGAACTTGGATTTGCACTTATATTGGTATTGAAAATTGGCGTTGCTCGTTCTCCACGTGATGAATGAAGTGGTATCAACCTATTCTTAAGTGGGAAAATTGCTCGGGGTTTGATGTCGACCCCTAGTTAGCCCTTTTTTCAGTATATTTCGGTCCAGGTTGGGTATAAGTAATATTGAATATTTGACTTAAAAATTTTTAGATATATTTTTTTAAACTTAATATTTATTTAAATACTTGAAAATATATGCTTGATACTTAACTTAATAGGTACTAGGTAATTCGTAAGTATATACTTATTGAATGATATTTTTTTTAAATTTTTTTAAACTTAAAATTTAATAAATTATTATTTATTACAATCTAAACTTAAATATAATATAAAATAATAATAAAAAACTTTAATTTAGCTTCATATTTGGATCTCAAATCTATGTACAATTAAAAAACTAAATTCAATTAAATAATTAACAATAAAGAATGAAAAATATACCCAAAAATAAAAAATAAAAATAAATTAAATAACAGAATAAAAGTCATTCAAAGGAGATCTCTAGGTTTTGAGGCTTATAGTTCCCTAATCTTTTGTCCAGGTTTTTGGCTTACAATCCATCCAATTCTCTATTTTGATTTGTTAGAAAGAGATAGTTACTGATGGTATTGTATCTATTTTAATATCATGATATTCATACTTTTGACTTATAATTTTTATCATATTAAATTTAAAATTTGAAGTTAAAAAATCATTTATACAATAAATAAAGATTATAACTTTGTAAATCACTAATAGAAAGGTAAAAAGATAGTTAAAAAGAATCAAACTTTAAAAGTTATATGCACTTACCATTGCCTAAGAGTGCAAGAAAGGGAAAAAGTTGTTGGCTGCATCGTGATATGTGTTTGATTTAAAATTTGTTATTTACAAGTTACATGTGTAATTTTTTTTATTTTTATTTTTGTATTTTATTATTTTTAATTTTAAAAATTATTATTATTATATAAATATTAAGTATAATAAGTAAATATAAAATTTTAATTATACCAGTACATATAATAGGTCAGTTGAATAAAACGATTAAACAAATTAAGTAAACAGTTTTGTTGGATTAGTACCATTGGTAATGGAATTTAGGGTGGATCTTGACTTGGCACTTGTAAATATATTATTTTTTTATTTATTATCTATTGAAAATTTTTTAATTCAAATAAAATATTTATTTAAATAAATAAAATACTTATAAATAACAATTATAAGTAACAAATATATGAGGACTCAATATTCACCCCTAGTGCAGTCTTCTTTGTGGACTAGGATTAGTACAATTGGTAATGGAATTTGGCGTGGGTCTGGTCCATTTAAGGTGGGTCTTCAAAGTCTGTCACTGGCGTGCTTTTGGTTCATTTGACATGAGTTGAAATGAATAATTTAAAAATGATATATATAATTTACATAAATAAAAATTTTAATTAAATAATAAAATTTTAAATAAATTTTTCAAAAAATATTTCAGAGCACGAAACTGCAAAAGTATTTTTCTATATTTATATATGCACCATCCCCAGTAACATGCTGAATAAACCTTCTAGGCATATCCCTAAGTTAAAAAATTTTATCTTCCTTCTTTTTCATTTTTTTTTTCTTCTGTTGAATTATCCTGCTTTTTTTTATCTAACAGTGATCTTATTTTTCTTTCTGATCTTCAATTTTATTCTTACTTGTATATTCCCAAAAGGCGATGCTTTTCAGAAATACAGAAAAACGGCATTAACGTTTTCTCTTCTCAACTGATTACGTTGATTCATTTGGGTGAATCTTGAGTCTAACATATATAAAGGCACTGCATATCTATTTACCAAAAAAAAAAAAAAAACGGCACTGCATATCCTACTATGCAAAAGAGGCTAGGATTCCCATATATACTATTGAGGTTCTCATGATTTTTGGTATCTTCTGTAACAATTCCACGCTCGAAAACAATAAACAACTAGAGCTTGATAAAATTCAACAGTTTCAATACCGAGTCGAATGTCAAATTCATGTCAAAGTGTTTGGTATTCAGTGTTGTTCCATCACAAGGTTAAAAGAAAAGGAGTTGAGTTCCTTTATTGAAGTGTTTTTTTTTTTTTGTTAGAATACATTTGCTGAAATTTATTAATTTAAAACCAGGAAGAAAGAGAGAAAAAAACCAGAGAGAGAACTCCATCACTCAATTGGAGTTTCTTACAAGGAATGCTACTATACATCTCAATTCAGCATTCGCAAGAACCTGATGAACCAATATTAGAATAAAATGACATTGAAATTAGTCTGAAGTTAGAAAAGGCAATGATGAGAAAGAATGTAAACGTAGATTAATAAAATTGTTGGAGCTGCAGTGTCAAAACCAGAAGAAATGGCAGTAAACTCTTTCATTTTGTCAAAGTTTTAGGTTTAAAGTTATGGCTTTCCTTATTTCATGGATGTATGTCTTTGTAGTCAAATATTTGGTGAAGAAAAGAACTATTTATGTTGTAGTTTCTGCTACCCAATAAAGACAAAGGAAAAAACTGAGTTAGAGAACATCTTCAATGTAAAACCAAATAATCTACCAACTAATACATCACGTAGATGGTAAAATCCAGCCGTGAATTAGTCTTACTGGGATGGTTGAACATTGTAAAAGCTTAAGGCCCAATGACATAGATCTAGAAGGGTCCGCACGTGACAAGGTCGGTAAAGAGGTGATGGGTAAAAGGATGAGACAAATTGCAGATTGCTATCCACAAGAGGGGAGAGAAACTCGGGAAAATCAAGCAGATTGGGTGACTGGGCAGACGAAGAAGAGGCGCGCGAGGAGGGTGAAGGCGCAGCAGATGCCAGCAGAATCGGGAACGACGCAGCATATGCCAGCAGAATCGGGAAGGACTCCGCAAGAAGGAAGAAGTGCCTCTATCTCAGATGGGTGTATTGCTCACTGGAACCGTGTGATTCAACAGGAACTAAGTCTACAAGAGGTAAGACAATTGATTACAGCTGGGCGACGGTTGGGCATGCAGTTCCAAGGAAATGAAGAGGAGGTGGAATCTCGGTTTTTAGAGCTGGAGCAGAGGGATGAGGTTCGGGGGAGAAATAGCTAAGATATGGGTCTGTTGGGAGGTAGAGTGGCTGTGGGTTGTTGTTGAAATGAAGTTTGTTTCCTTTAATGTCAGAGGGTTGGGGGGAACGGTGAAGAGGAGGGAACTGGGTAAATTAGTAAGGGCAGAGAAACCAGATTTTTTTATTTGTACAAGAGACCAAATTAGAAGAGGTAGAGGAAGGATTGTGTAAAATGTTGTGGTATTTCGATGAGTTTGGTTGGAGTATGAAGAGCTCGGTTGGAGCATCTGGAGGTTTGTTGTGTGTGTGGAACAGGACAGTTTTTGTCAAATTGGAGGAATTTACAGGGGATGGGTACTTGGGTATAAAAGGAGTTTGGGGTTCAAAAGAGGAGCAGTGTGTTTTTGTGAACGTATATGCTCTGAGTGATAGAAGAAGCAAGGCTGAGTTATGGGATGAGCTGAGCCGGAAAATTACAGAAGAGGGTGGGAGATGGTTGTTGGCAAGGGACTATAATGCTGTTCGGTGTCTTGAAGAAAAAAGGGGAAGGACAGGCATGAGTGTAGATATGTCGGAGTTTGATGCTTTCATAGAGACAACAGGATTGGTTGATTTTAAGTTGGCCAATCGGAAGTTTACATGGTATAGACCGGATGGTACATCCATGAGCAGATTGGATAGGATACTGATGACTGTGGAGATGAGCAGTATGGGTGAGGAATGGGTGCAGCAGGGGTTGAGGAGAGATATTTCCGATCACTGTGCCATTGTTTTGAAAACAAGAGTCACGGATTGGGGGCCTAAACCTTTTCGGGTGTTGGACATTTGGCAGCAACATCCAGATTTTAAGAAAGTAGTTGAAGGCAAATGGATCGGGATGGTGGTTGATGGGTTTGCAGGTTATAGATGCTTACAAAAATTAAAGATGCTGAAGAAATTTTTGAAAGGGTGGAATAAGGAAGTGTTTGGGGATGTAGAAGTTCAATTTCAAGCTGCTGTGGATAAGGTTGCTCGGATTGATATGAAGAATGAAGTGGCTGATTTAGAAGGGGAAGAGGTGGCTGAAAGACAAGAAGGCTTTCATGAAATGTGGGATATTATGAAGAAGAGGGAGATTTTATGGAAGCAGAAATCAAGATGTAGCTGGGCAAAATTAGGGGATGCTAATACGAGGTTTTTTCACAAAGTTGCAAACGGTAGAAAGGTTCATAATAACATTAATGGGTTTGCATGTGAAGGCAAGTGGGTGGAGGAGCCAAAGGAGGTGAAGAAAGAGGTTGTCAGGTACTTTAGTAAGATGTTTGACGGAGAATCATGGCAACGTCCCAAGCCTGTCGAAATCAATTTTAATCAGATCTCCAAAGAGAAGAAAGAGGAATTAGAAAGGCCCTTTTCTGTAGAGGAGATTGAGGAAGGATTGAAGAGCTGTGAGGGAACTAAAGCACCCGGGCCGGATGGATTCAATTTTAATTTTCTCAAATGTGTGTGGAACTGTTTGAAGGAGGATTTTATGAGACTTTTTGAGGAATTCCACCAGAATGGCAGGTTAGTAAGAGGCTTAAATTCTTTTTTCATAACATTAATCCCTAAGAAGTTGAATCCTTTAGAATTAAAGGATTTTAGACCTATTAGTTTGATTGGATGTCTGTATAAGTTATTGGCTAAGGTGCTGGCTAATAGGCTAAAGGGCGTAATGTCGGGGTTAATTAGTGACACGCAATCTGCTTTTCTGGGGGGTCGTCAATTGGTTGATAGTGTTCTAGTTCTAAATGAGGTGGTCGATGAGGTTAAATTGAAGAAACAGAAGGCCTTCGTTTTTTAAAGCTGATTTTGAAAAGACTTATGACTGTGTAGATTGGGCATACTTGGATTGGATGTTGTGTAGGATTGGCTTTGGAATGAAATGGCGCGGGTGGATTAGAGAATGTCTTTCAACAGCAAGGATTTCGGTATTAGTTAATGGGAGCCCGACGGAGGAGTTTGTGATGGGAAGAGGTTTAAGGCAAGGTGACCCGTTATCACCGTTTCTTTTTCTGATAGTTGCGGAGGGGTTAAATGGGTTAGTTAGGAGAGCAGAAACTGAAGGAATGTTACATGGCCCAGCAGTGGGTAATAAGGGGTTAACTATTTCTTTGCTTCAATTTGCTAATGATATGGTGATTTTGGGGAATGCTGACAGCGAAAATATATTTGCGGTGAAGACCATTTTAAGATGTTTCGAGTTGATGTCTAGATTAAGGATTAATTTTTCCAAGAGTAGTGTGGTCGGTTATAATGTGTCAGAAAGGTGGATTAAAGGGGCAACAAGTGTCTTACATTGTGGTGTTGGGGAAACTTCATTTATGTACTTGGGGTTGCCGGTTGGTGGGAAGATTAGGTGTAAGAAGATGTGGGAACTGGTTCTGAAAAAATTTCGAGCCAAGCTTGCCATCTGGAAGTCTTCTACGCTGTCCTTTGGTGACCGCATCACTCTACTCAACTTGGTACTCTCTGCTATCCTTGTCTTTTATATGTCATTATTTTTAATGCCGAATTGTGTGGTTTCGGAGTTGATTAGTATTCAACGAGCTTTCTTGTGGGGTGGGGTGGAGTTAAAGCGGCGAATTCCTTAGGTTAAGTGGGATTATATTTGTTTCAGTAAGAGGAAGGGAGGCCTAGGAGTGTTAGATTTACGTAGGAAAAACTGTGCGTTATTAGGAAAATGGTGGTTCAGATTAGGGGATGGGGTGGAGGGTTTGTGGAAGAAGGTGGTGAGGGAGAAATATTATGGAGGCAGGGAAGAAGTAGATATTACGGCATTGGAGAGTGTGAGGGTATCTCGGATTTGGAGGGATATTATCGGTATAGGTCAACGATCTGGAAGGTTACAGGATATGTTGGTCAAGGGGTTCAAATGGGTGGTAGGGGAGGGTTGTCGAGTGGGGTTCTGGAGGTCGGTTTGGGTGGGGGAGAAAGCTTTACGGGATTTGTGTCCTAGATTGTTTGAGTTGGCTGTAAATAAGAAGGGATTAGTAAGTGAGATGGGGGGCTGGGAGGCGAGTAGTTGGCGGTGGAATATAATTTGGAGGAGAGGGAGGTTTGGAAGAGAGAAGGATGAGGAGTTGATGTTGTGGGAGGTGTTGAGTAGAGTTGGTATTAAGGTGGGAGTTGAAGATCGTTGGCAGTGGATTCATGTTTCAGATGGGAAGTATGTGGTGAAACAAGCTTATGAGTTTTTGGAATCGACGAAATCTATTCTTAATGATTGGTTGTGTAAGTTAATTTGGTGTCGTTTAGTACCCTCTAAAGTAAGTTTCTTTGGGTGGAGATTATGTCTTCAGAGACTTCCAACAAAATGGAATTTGCAAAAGAGAGGAGTGGTGTTAGAGGGGGGCTTAATGTGTGGGTTGTGTACTGAGGAGGTGGAAGATATTAATCATGTGTTTTGTACATGTAAGGAAGTTTGGTTAATTTGGGTTATGGTTTTGTCTTGGTGGGGTTTTGAGGTTGTGTTGCCCGATATTTTGGAGGGGGTAGCAGAAATTTTCTTGTTTGGATTGGGTAAGGTGGTAGGGAAGGAGTTGGGAGCAAGCCTCTTTCTTGTTACATCATGGTATATATGGTATGGGAGGAATTGTAGAGTATTCAAGGGAGATGTGGCTCTTCGGGAGGGGTTGTTGGCTATGATATAAGAAAAGACTTTCTTCTGGTGCAAGAATAAAGTGCAGGGATGTGTATTTTCGGTTAGTGATTGGAAGCTAAATCCACATGGGTGTGCTGCAGCTATGAGAAATCATAAGAAGAGGCAAAAGGAGTTCCATCTAAACCAAACAGGAAGGGTATAGAGGTAGCAGTAGCCAGATGATTCCTTATTATTTTTGTTTCCATTGGGTATAATTTAATTTTGTATATGGGTTAGAGTACCCCTTGTACTCTGCAATATAAAGTTGATTTTTGCTGATAAAAAAAAAAAAAAAGTTTCTGCTACCCAGTAAAGACAAAGGAAAAAACTGAGTTGGAGAACATCTTCAATGTAAAACCAAATAATCTATCAACTAATACATCACGTAGATGGTAAAATCCAGCCAGTTTGTGGGATTTGAAAAATTATAAATACTAAATCATGAAGTCATTCGAATTTCATAATGTAACAAAAGCAAGTGAAATTTGATCTCTTCTCCATTCGAAGACATTGTTTTCTTGGGATTAGGGATAGCAACGAGTTCCGTAAGGGTTGGATGCTCTTCCCATCCTACATCTATCATTGACAAATTTAAGGATCCCATGGAGATTTTTGATAGAAAGCAAAAAAATACCCTCTATCTCCATCGCTACGAGGAATAAGGGATTTCCACAAGTATGGGGAATTCCCATAAAAATATATAAATTTTTTTTATTTAGTTATATATAAAAATACTTTAATTTATTGAATTCTTAGTAAAAAAAAAAAGTCTAAAAGCATTTTAGAAAAATTAATTATTTTTAGGTATTTTTTTCCAGAAAATGAATCAAATCAAATAAAATAAAGTAAGCTTTGCCTATAAATAAATAAATAAAGTTAAAATCAAATTAAGAAAAGCCCATTAAATAAGGAGGTGAGGTCAGGAAGAACTAAAATAGTAAAAAAGAGAGATGCAAGAGTCAAAAGTGTTTGTAATTAGAATTTATGGGTTTGAGAATTGAGATGTTTGGGTTTATTATAAATTATATTTTTATAATTTATAATTTTTTTTTATTAATTTACAGTTTCTCATGAGGATTTACGAGATAGGAAAAATTCCCTACAAAATTTTATGAGGGAAAAATCATCTCTATCCATGCCATGAAGGAGCTAAATTGATTGGTTTTAGTAAAGATACTAGACATGTGAGTTAATTGGGACAGAGGAAGAAAATTCCATGCAAGACATATGAGTTAATTGTACAATATCCCATTTATTAGTAAATACGAATAAGATGAAGGGGTTTCATTTGATATCTATATAACAAAATACTAGTTGCAATAAATTTAAACTAATAAAACATAAATGACTGAAAAGTACAAATGATTGATTGGTTTTAGTATAGATACAAGACATATAAACATAGAGAATGCTGTTTTTTAGTTTGACATGCATGAATTGCACTTTTTTTAACTATTGAAGAAGGGTAGGATCCTTATTAAAGGCCAACTGAAGTGGACTCACCCTCCATCACTACTTCATTTTTTTGGTAAACATATACTTGAAAAAGAGAATAATACAAGAACTAACATAAAAATTCTCAAGTATCCAAGTACTTACTAAGCATCCTTGTTAATGCATGTTGCAGACAAGTATCGTCCAATATATGACCTGTATAACCATGAAATCTATCATCATTGCCCACCATTGTGTCGCTTTAAATTCAACTGTGGTGGATAATTGTGGCAAATCTTTGGGAAAGGACATACATAACCGAATCCACCAAAGCACATAACAAGTTGGCACAGATAACCAGTCTCTAAAGTACAAGCTGGGTTCCAAACCAGCCAACACCATAATACCGTATTTGACAACAGATAACAAAGACAAAATCATATCGGTAATTCTTTTAGCATTTGTAGAGGGCAGTGACAAATCTTTGGGTAAAAGGCTTTGTAACCAGAAACAACAAACCACAAAACTGATTATTGCAAATAACCAATCTTTATAATCTGCCATAGAAAATGTGTAAAGGCCAAACAGGAAAATACCTTGTGCAACATTTATAATGGTCAAAATCAAACCATTGGCTCCTTTGGTATTTGTAGAGGGTAGTGAGGTATCTTTGGGATAGAACTTATGAAAGCGGATAATCCACATTGTGTTCACGATTGCCCTACCTAACAATACTTTATAATTGAACAAGGGAGATTTGACAACAGAAAAATGAAAGACGGCTCCTGCGATTCGCATAGTAGTTGTCAACAGAATAAAAGTGCTTCTAGCTGTGGTATTTGTAGAGCTCAGTGACTGATCTTGTTCCAAATCCAACCAGTACTCATCTAACCAGCTCTTGAAACTGAATAATACAAAGCAGATGGAGGCAATTATCCATGTGGGAGATGTGAATTGGAAGTTATTGTAACTAATGGATCCCACGACTCCAATGATGAAACCAAACAATCCAAAGTCTGTTCGTGGTCGTAATACCACCAGTAGACATAGTAAATAAATCACAATGAAAAACATGAAAATGAGGCTCCTCAAGGAATTATAGTAAGATTTTGCAAAAACAATTGCTAGAATAAAGAAAGTGAAGTTTGATGTTAAATTTGCCACACAGCCGCACCTTCCACGGAGAATTCCAAGTTGACTCCAAAACTCCGAATTTGTTAGTAGGTCATTTCCAATAAGCAACAATAACCATGTTTTGAGCCCTCTTTTATCATATTTGGAACTTATTTCTGTATCCAGTAGAAGAAATGTGGCAGAGTATAAGGCAAGTTTACCTAGCAGTTGGATCTTTGGCTGACGCTTTTCTGCTCCATGGTTGAGATGCATCTGGACGGCTTTCGATAGATTCTTCATTTTCTTAGTAATCGGATCCAACAGAGCTCTCATTGTTGATTGGCAATACACCTTGAGAGTTTTCCATTGATTGCTTACCTCCTCTTCAATCCAATCTTGCAGGAGTATTACTTGGCAAATAAGACTAGTTATTGTTAATAACGGATGAAATTTGACAACTATTCTCACAATGTTCATAATCTGTGGCACTGCAGTTGAATATCTCATATCTTTCATTGGGGAGAAAGATGAAAAAGAACTAGCAGCACGGGTTTATTCCGATGGATGTTTCATGCCTCATCTGCACCTAAAAATTCTCACCTAAAATATTAGATCAGTCTTCCTTTGACTCGGAATGGTATTAGAATGTGAACCCAGAATTGCGTCTGTGGTGGGACTTGTGACGTGGGCATTCTAAGGACTTGGATTAATTAGTACTATTAGTATTGAAATTTGGCGTGGGTCTTCAAAGTAGTCATTCGGGCTTCATCTGGGTTATAAAGTCGTCGTTTGACGTGGGGAGCAGGTAATGGGGACGTGGGGTCTTCCGCGGACTTTGATTAGCATTTGCATTTGACTGTTACTTACCGACAACGAAGCGGGGTTCATATTCTCTTGTGCTAATGTTGCCCACAAGGGGATGCCTTTTTTCTTTCTTTCCTTTTTTTTTTTTTTTTTTAACTGAAGTCAAAGTCCGCAAGGGGATGCTTTATGGCTATTGAAATGTTAAATGTGAATTTTACTCTTTCAACATTCTATTTTGAATAATTTTGGATCTTAAATTATTTTTAGCACTTATTTATCCCTCTCAACTATACAGATTGTATTTTTTTGTTCTACCACTAGTTAAGTGATGATATAACTGTT